GCGTTTTTGAGTGTTTTTGTCGTGAAGGAGACTGCCCTTTTTAAAATGGGTATAGCGCATATATTAGATGTGCTATACCTGACTGCCTTTTCACATTCAGGTATAGCGCATCTAATTTATGCGCTATACTAAGACTTTGACCGCCTTTTCAAAATTGTGCATAGCACATGTAATTCATGCGCTATACCTTAACAGACAAACGTGTCGTTAAGGTATAGCGCATGAATTTCATGCGTTATATATAAAAATGTTGTCAGTTGATTTTTTTCATCTATTTTGGTGTTTTGAATCCAAAAGCCATCATTTTGGTCCCGGACTCCTTATTAATGACCCTAGTAAAGGTAAGGAGACGGCCGTGGGCTTTATCCATGGACCATGAAGATAACTGGAACCTTAATGCTCTCCCTATCTCTATTGTAAGGAATCTCTCCCTGATTGAGGTGCTTGATGGTTCTAAAACAGATCAACCTATTTGGACCATTACCAATGATGGTTCCTTTTCCTGCAAATCTGCTTGGCAACTCTTTAAGCAGTCCAGAAACTTTACTAGTTCTGCTGGTAACATATGGTATAAAGGGATTCCCTTCAAAATTTCCTTCTTTGTGATGAGACTAATTCACAACAGATTGCCTATTGATGAGATCAATAGAAAATTTGGAATCATTAGTCCATCTATGTGTTCATGCTGTAGAGCTCCCAAATCCAAAACTGTTGACCATGTTTTCCTTACAGCGATGGAGACCTGGACCATCAACTGCTTGGAATTTATTTGGTGTCTATTGTGGCTTGAACACTACCTCTGAACTGAGACAAACTCTATTCTATTGGTGGTTAACGGAGCCCGAGAATAATGTTCATTCTTTTTTTCTTTACTGCCTCCCATGCTTGATATGCTGGGAAGTTTGTAAACGAAGATGTGTTATCAGATATGGAGATGGAAAAATTTCTGTCAAGAAACTTATTCTCCAAATTCAGAACATGAGGTGCATACTTATAAATATCCAATTTCCATCATTACCTATCTTTACTGATTGGAAACAATTAATCCAAACAGTGGAAAGGTGTAAACCTGTACTAAAAGTTATCCTTGTCTAATGGATAAAACCACCTGATGGATACATTAAGGTTAACATTGATGGTTGTAGCAAAGGAAACCCAGGCTTAGCAGGTGGAGGATGCTTAAGAAATCAGTATGGAGATCTAATAATGACTTACTCCACCTTTTTTGGTTCCTGCACTAACAATATGGCAGAAGCAATGGCTATCCAGGTTGGCTTGAAATGGTGTATTGATTATGGATACAAGGAGGTCGAAGTTGAATCTGACTCTCTAGTCCTAATCAATGCAATAAACAAGCATATCGGTACACCTTGGCAGATTGCTCACTTGGTAGAACAAATTAGAGAGTTACGGCAGGAAGGCAATTTCAAGTTTTCATACTGCTACAGAGAAGCTAACTGCACAGCTGACTTGCTAGCTAACTGGAGTATATATAAGACTTCTACCTTCTTCACTGAGGCTGACACTTTACCTTTGAAGGTGAGAGCTACTTTGAAGAATGACAGAGACCAGTTGGTCAACTTCAGAATTAGGACTAGAAAGAAGTTTTATGATGTTTAGCCTTTCTAATATCTTTAATCTCAGAAGGATTGGATGCCTTCCCCAAAATTTTACTTTGGAGCACTTTATCTTTCTTAATCTCACTGGAATGTGCTCTCCTCTCTTGATTCAGGAGTTGTTTAGATATGATTTACCAACTCCTTTTGTAATGATCCTTTTGAGTTTTAATATACAGGTTGAGGTCATGCCAAACCTCTCACCATAATGGTGACATTAAGTTTTTAAAAAAAAGAAAATGACAGTGGCTAGAAACTATTATAAACTAATTTATTTTCCATCCAAATCGAGTTCAAATAAATAAATCAGCATACAGTAAACAATTGAGCCTGAGGTACATGCTGCACATGAACGGACCCCCATCACCCCACTACACCGGGTTATTCCCAGTTCCTACTCTTTACAACAAATTCCTCAGAAAATTCCCTCAGCTCGCAGAAACAGCTTAATAAGAAAACATTGTGGTTGCTGAGACATGTCCGCTGATGAACAGGGAACACAAATTTGATACAATCGGAAAAGCTTTTACTACTAACAACCTGGCATATTACACTTACAATGAACTTTTTCGCCCATATGTACAAGCTGAAGAGTGAGTTGACTGAAGATACAGAAACATCAAACTGGAACAGGATCCAGCATTCTCTAACTCGCACCTCGGAAGGAACGATCAAGCACGTATCATCTAGATATTAGAGATACAATCAGCAAACAAAACAAAGAATAGGCTTTCAACATAGTATATCCGCAAATAATCAATTTTGCATCGGGAGACACTTTAAACAGCTTATAGACTGTGTAAGGCACTAGTTTATATAGGTAACAGTAACCTCCTAATCAACTAAAAAGATGATAAATATGAACATACAGATACTTGTCTGTCATTTCTTGCTCTCATTGAACACCTGTGAAGAATTGATGTGCTAGTGATTTATCATTCCAACTTGTCAACTGGTATGTGTCTACCATAACCTGCTGTAACCAACAAGATTACCAGAGATACAGGAGGATTTGCTTCGGGTGCTTCCTCACAATTCATCATCCCTTCCCTTACCCCATCCCAAAAAGAAATGGAAAAAAAGAAAAGAAGAATCCCAAATGAATCAGTTGCTAAAGGAAGCCACCCTTCCCCTCCCTGAAAAGGTAAAAAGAATAAATCTCATAGCAAACACAACATGAGAGTTTAGAAATCTCTCTCTTGCAAATACAACTTCCAATTCCTCTCTGCATTGCAGGTTGGTGCAACTGTACCATCCAGAGCTAGGTGAAGCAGTTCTCTCTACCGACTTCAAGATTTAACCAGTGTTTTAAAAGGCGTGGGCGTAAGGCGAGACGTTTTACATATGCCTCAGTGAGGCGTAAGCCCCGAGGCACCGGGCGTAAGCCCCATAGATATTTAATTTTTAATATTTTATAAAATAATATAATTGCAAAAAATATTTATAAACAGGTAAAATTGCATAAAAATTGAAGAAAACTATAAATATGTGAAAAATATATATATAGATGTGCTCCATCCCACAAAAAACTAGTCAAAACAATATATTATACGCTACTTAGAAGCACAAGTAACTTGAGTCGAAAAGAATAAAGTTTTCTACATGGAGGAACAAAAAGGATGACTAACCTGCAATTTGAACTTTAAACTTGCTGCTATGAAGGAGAATGGAGTTCTCTTTGTATTTGTGAAAAAAGAAAATTGAATATTCGTTACTTTTGGGAGATATTAGCAGACTAGCGGACAAGATAAAGAATTGGGAAAGACCATGAATTAGGGTTTCAATCAATAAATAAGGTCTTGACTTTTAAATTTAATACATTTCAATTCCTTTTTAAAACTTTTGAGTAATTACCAAGCTGAATTTTGAGAATTTGGGTATTATATGAAGGACTTATTCAACAAATTTTGTTTTAATTTGAAAAAGTCTTTGGGGCTTACGTCTCACTAAAAAACACGCCTCAAACGCCCGGACGTACGCCCCGAACGCTCGGGCATACACCCCGAATTGCTGGACGTACGCTCTTGAGACTTTCGCCCCACACCATTGACTCGGGGCGTTTTTGGTGCGCCTCGCCCTGAAAACGCTTTTTAAAACACTGTTAAAGATTTAACAGCTGGTACATGACAGACTACATTGATCAAGACACTAGAGCTGGCACAGAAGCTAGTGAAGCCCAGATGAAGATTATGCTGGTTGTGGCAACAAGATAGCTACCCACTGTTACACGTACTTCTAACTTTTACTTGAGGTTTTGTTAAGATAAGGTCTTCAGAAGCATGTTTCATATTTAATTAAGAGAATATCTATTCTTTTAACAAGTATTAGATTAAATAAATCATGTTTCAAGTAAAGTGAAGGGGAAATGAAAAGCAAAGATTATGGACCTACACATTTTCTATTAGTTAATTAATGGGTCTCAAGCTACGATTTCTAGACACTGAACCAATAATGATTCCAAGGACAAGTAAGAACATATCCTACCAACAATGAAAGGAAAGATAGGAAGGAGAGACAAGTAAAACAATAGAAGCCATTAGCAGTGACCCAATAATTGAAATAGAAGGATGTCTTACCATCCGTGGGGCACTTCTCCCATGTAGTGTCTTCGTTGCATCTGAAAAGGCTTTTGCAGCTTCAGCATCAGCTTCAGCAGCTTCAGCGTCCCTAGCAGCCTCCTCAGCTTCAGCTATGGCTGATTCTGCTTCAGCAACAGCTTGTGCAGCAGCAGCTGCAGCCTCTTGAGGTGTCATGTTCCTCATTTTATTAGCTAGCTCTAAATCTATCTGAGATGTACTAAGCATGTCCATATCATCCCGATCAACCTTGGAGAAGATCCTCTGCCTGCTATCCAAGAATGGACTGGACAGGTTTCTTCTTCTGTCAGATGGTGTCGATGTGGGTGCTACTCTATACTTGCGCTTTATCTATAAGAGACAATATATTCAGGGTATTATAATCAACCAGGAAGGGAAAAAATTACCACGCATACAAACACTTGAATCCAATCATCATTTCTGATTGTATTCACACCTACGCCTAGGGTGAGCTGGGCAATGACACAGATGTTGATGCAAGATCAAGAAGGTTAAAAATCCAAGAAATTCAAGAAGTCTAAGAATTCATCCAAGATTAGGATTTCTTTTCCTTAAAGATTGGGATTTCTTATTTCTTGTTTCCTAGTAATTTAATTTTTGTTTTAGTAGGATTATATTTGTAATTCTAGTCAAACTAGGATTGTTAGTTGGTATCCCATTCCTACTAGAATTCTTTTTCCTATTTTAGTTAGGATAGGTTTTCTTAACCTTATTCTTATTCTAGTTTAATTAGGATTAGTTTTCCTTAACCTTATCAATATTACTCATTGTAAGGCCTATTTAAAGGGCTTAATATGTTGAAAATAAAGATTGGTGATTAGTTTTTTTGAGCATTAGCTTCAAAAACGTGGTTGACTCTTTTGTTTCCTCTTCTTCACTTACTCAACGGTTCTTGCAATCTTGTGGGATTGAAGAACGTGTGGGCAAGGTTTCTTTTCATCTTACATTCTTCTAACGTGAGTTTGAAGAACGCTTTCGCTAGTTTTGTTAAAAACTTTAGCGGGGTGTTTGTGTTTATTTCTCTTCTTTGTGCTTGAGTAGTGTAAAACCTCGAAAGTATATCAGATGTCAAGCACACAATATAAACATCACCTTGATAAGTTTCCCAGTTGCAGTTAAATACTTCAGTTTCCCCGACAGCAGCCTTATAAAGTTTGGAGGGGCCCAGTATTGGTCCTAATAGATAGAAATAGCATAAAATTAAGTAGAATAGACTGACAGATGCAACCAAAATTCTGGTTTTTGCTAGGAACTAAGATCAAGCAATCATGACATTTATGCATTGACTAAGATTTGTAAGATGACCTTTATATCATCTGATTGAGCATAAATGTATTAACCAAAAAAAAAGATTCTGTCGGACACGGTGCATAAGCCAACAGATCATTGAGAACCTGATCAGTAAAGCCACTACGTTGGGGGTGAACTCTTAGCATAGGGAATCAAGATCATACTTTGAGAAAAGAGATATTAGCATAGCAGTATCAGATCTATATTAGACTCATGCAACCTCATGATCTGCATATACTAAAGCAGACACCCTCTTGAACATACATATACTAACCAGAATTCTTTATGCCGCCATCAGGGTGCATTAACCCATAATATTTCATTGAGGACCTGTTTAGCAGAGCCTAATGCCTTGTTATATGGAATCAAGATCATACATTAAGAAAGAAAAATTAATGTGGCACTATCAGACCTATGTGCACTCAAGCAATCTAATATTCTGCATATTTCCAACCAGATGCTACATTAGGACTCAAATGTGCTGTATTTTTTTCATCCTAATCTGTTGTTACCAACAGTCAAATCTTAAAAATAATAAAAACAAAAACAACAGTAAAATAGAAAACTTTCTTCCACAAATAACAAACAAGGAATTTAAGAGGGAAAGCACTAAGTTTGATGATACTGAGGTTTACGAAGCCTCATAATTGAAATATACAAGCATCACAGATTGCAAACATCATCACAATGTTGATATTGCCATAACAAGAAGCAACACCATAATCAGTCCTTTATGGGTCTTTGAAAAATAAATAAGATTTCCATGCATGATAATTAATGAATGGTACTCTAGATTATATCTAGTTACTTCTTCTAAAAGAAAGCACATAATAAGAAGACAACTACCTCTATGTATGCAGCTATTGCAGTCTTGTTGGAACCACCTGGCTCCTTCAAGCTGCTTATAGCCTCCATTATAAGATTATCCAACCTATAATATTTAATGCAGCAACTATGAGGGATAATCATCCTTCCAAAGTAAGAAAATAAGAATAATATGGGACCCCACCAAGACAGGTAATATTATTTCATCCTGACTAAAGAAAAGGAAATTCAATGAACTTCTGAAAGATCTAAACAGAGGTCCCATACCAACTTTACCTTCCGAATGCCAAAAACTAATAACATAGAAGTATCACATGCATGTAATGAAAAAGCAAAGCACTTTTTGGTTGTCAGACATTTTTGTTTGGCAAAGAAAACAAAAATGCATTTCAGAAATCATATAGAAACATTTCAAAAAATACTTCAGGAAACAAATTGTTCTCCAAAAATGTTTTTTGAAAATATTTCTAAAAAGCATCTCCAACAAATATTTCTAACAAAACATCCAAATGCCACCTAGGAACAATAGAACATGCATAAACCAGCAAGCAACTATATCCATAAGCACAAAAAGAACTCGGTGACTACCACAAAGAGTTATGCTGCAACAATCAACGAGCAGCGCTTAACCTTATCATAGATTTTCTTGAACCATGTATCTGTGGAGAACTGCTAGAAGTAGTGGCTGCTTGCGCTTCAGCAGCTTCCTCATCACTTTCAGCTGTGGTCGTATCAGCCACAGGACTCCCATCCTGTCTAGGGGCCTGTTTCGTCCTTTTGACAGCTAACCTTGCTTGCTCTCGAGAACTCCAACCGTTTGCCATCACCGTCATGTTCCTCCACTTGTCCTGAACAGCATCAACAAAGATAAATAGGCATATTAACACCATATGCATAGATAAGAAACAAAAGATAAACTACTAAACTACATAGCTATCATCTGCCTCAAATAACATCTAAACTTCCTCTGCACAAAACATAATTATCTAATGAAAAAACGATGGTAGTAACCTCTACCTTAAGATCTACATTTGAACGCAGACACAATACTCCACTAAATTCTGGATCCTTGAGAATCGTGCGCCATTTACCTGGCCCATGCTTAAGTATCCCAGCTTTAAGAGCAGCTTCTTCTTCTGAAGTCCACTTCTGCTTAGGTGCACCCATCAAAAATCTGAGGAAACTGAGGAACAACCTACTCAGAGAACACATAACAACATATCAACAAACCACCCAAAGAAGATAAATTGCACCATATATAGACGGTTTATCGGCATTATGCATCTGGAAAGCTAAATAAGCTTGAATAATCAACATGAAAACAATAAAACGGCTTCATTTGGAGAAAAGCAGATAAGTATATAGTTAACCTTAATAAACAAAAATTTTATGAGGATGCCATTCATTGCTGAGATGCATAGAATGAAACCATAACACAAGTCCACATAAGCTACATGCAATGGCATTAGATAAGTACATATTCGATTAATTCATGTCTGTTAAACTTGTCTGCTATTTTATCTTCCAAAGGCATTAAAGAAGTACGCCTTAGACTAAATTGTGTATGTAACACTTGTTGCTATCTTCCAATTGCATTAGAGAAGTACGCATTAGACTAATTCGTTTTTGTAAAACTTGTTTACTATTTGAAGTCCATGCACAAGATATGATTCATGACTCATGAACCATTACCAACAAACATTGGAATAAGGCATGATACATTCACTTTAAAGAACCACAAAAACAAGCAAGCACTTTCCAGGAAAAACTGAAAAACAAATCCTTACAGCAAAGACCTACCTCCTTAAAATCATTTATCTGAAAAAAGATCTAACTCCTAAAAGTCCAAGTGATATATCAAAACTAACCCTCTTTTCTTCATGTGCATTATCTAAATACCTCAATCTAATTCCTAGTTTCTGGACATGCCAAATCAGAGAAGTTTTAAACGCACAAGCACAAAGGCAAACAAACACAATATACACACATACAGAGCAGAAAGGTAATGAACTTGGGAGCAGCATATCAAATAGAACTTGGGAGCAAGAATTTTAACTAATTTGGGATTGAGGCATTGTTCATTGATCAGACAGAGTCCTTCCAAGGCGGAATTCTCGACAGACTGAACAAAAGAAAGCTAAATTTACTGAGCTGTTGATATCAAGTGTAAATTAAACGAATATTTAACAGAAAGCTAGTTCATGAAGATAAATCGATGTTAGCTTTAAATCGAATTTGTGTAAGATCACAATTCACAAACCGAAGCCCTAGTTTCGTGCAATAAGTTGGGAATTTGTTAGAACAGATTCAAATTGAAAAAATAGGGATGGAAGGAGATGGGGAAGAAGAGCAGTGAGAGATGGAGGTTCACCAGAAACGATCGGTAGGCAGGGCGATTAAAGCCTAGGAATTTGAAAATCTCTCTTCTAGTTTTCCTTTTAGCACCAACGGTGTGACTTGGAAGAAGCCGAGTTAGTTTGACTGATGGAGTTTGAAAAGATAAAAAAACTTTTTAAAACTTGTAATCTTAAATTATTTCTAACCGTAAAAACATGTCATCTAGATTGAAACACGAGCTATAGATAAATATAATTGATACATGTACAATTTAATCTTGTCTCAATGCCCACAGTAACTATAGGCCATGCGCTTACTACATAGCCAAACATTCAAGCTTAAGGGACGCTTTGGACAGGTTTCACTAGCATAGAGCATGCATACCATGGCCTATTAAAACATTCGAGGCAGACCATTTTGCGTATGCTCTTCAACTTCCTTTTTTATTTTCTCTCTTTTTTAGCTACCTCATTTAGATTAGTAAAGTGGAAGGCGTCCTAAAGTTTAATGTCATATGTAGAACTCGATATCTGCCTTTGTGGCGAATAATGTTTGTTGAAGACTTCAACAACTCTTAGAAATCCCAGTCGAAAATTTTGGGGTTATAAAGTGTCAAAAGTGAGTAAGTTTTGTGTTTAAAAATTATATATATGGGTATGTGTTTTTATTCAATCACTGATAATTATTTGTTATATTGTATAGGATAATAGTGGGTGTGACTATTTTAAATGGAACTATGGATCATCGACAAACCGAACAAATGGGATTGCCGCGGTTGAGGAGACCCTCCGTTGACGATGATACAACAACCTCACAAAACAATGTGAAGTTTGAACTACAGTTTAGGCTCAAATAAGTCGAACAATACAGGGCTCTTCTTAGAACATCGTTGAAAGAAGAAGATTGGTCTAGAGGTTTTGAGTTTCGCGTTCGCGAGGGACATGGTCGTGTTCGCGAATTGGTGAGGCAGATAACCATCGCGTTTGCGAAGGAGGATTTTTGGGCGGTGGCATTTTGTGCTTCGCGAATGTGGAGCTAAGGTCGCATCGCAAAGGGTAGTGCTAGGCAGAGTATATAAGTTTAAAATTTTGGAATATTTGCCCATTCTCTCATATTTTGAGCTCAGGACTAATTGAGGGGCGATTTTCAACGAGATTTTCATACAAGTAAAGAGGATAAGTACTTTTTACTCATTGGTGATTATATTTCAAGAATCTACATGGATTTTTATCCCATGTATCAAGGATTTAAAGTGTAAAAATTGAGATTTTTGGTATGAACTTAAGAGAATGATTTTGGGAATTTGAACATAAAATTGAATTCCGATTTGGAATCTAATTATATATTTAGACTCAGGGTGTTATGGGTAATCTATATGTATCATCAATTTCAAATTTCGGGCCTGCGGCCCGAGATTTACTTTTGTTGATTTTTTTATTTGGGTTAAAGATTGAACCATTTTTTTTACACGAAATCAATTCCTAAAGCTTGTATTGACTCATTTGAGTAATATTTTACTAGATTCGAGTCATTTGGAGTTGGATTTAAAAGGAAAGATGGTTGTTATTGATTGAAGCTTACAGGAAAAAGGTAAGTCTCTTATCTATCCTTGTAAGAGGGAATTCTCCACATAGGTAATCTATTTACTATTTGTTGCTTGATTTAGGTGTTACGTATATGCGAGGTAACGAGCGTTTATGTGTAGCTAAGTTATGACCTTAGCCAGACAGAGTTAGGCTTATGATATGCCTCATCTGGACTTCATAAGTTGTTTATTCATGTTTCTTTAATTCTATGACTGCGTGATGAATTTTAATCATAAATAGAATCCATGCAAGGGTTACGACTTGTTTATTTGGACATGACGGGCTACTTTCACCGTGTTGGGCTTTCTAATTTAGCCGTAGTCATACAATTGCCATTCTTGATTTATGATTTATTGGCTATTGTCTTACATTGTTCTTGTTGATGTCATGATCGAACTAAAGAATGTTAAATAAGCATATTGAACAGTTAATAAAGTTAAATTAAATGATTAGCCATATCCATCTCTTACTCATTTAAATGTCCATCCGTATTTTTATTGTTATATCATGGTGCGTCTTTATTACATCATTTCATATGCATATTACTGAGTTGGAAGTGGTATAACGAAAAAAGTTGAGAAATTTGGCACCAAGGACATTGTAAGCGTATATTGATTATTGATGGTATTGTGTTTGGATCGGGTTGCATGCCACAGTATTGTAATTAGATCGGGTTGCACGCCATAACGATAACATGATTGAATCGGGTTGCACGCTACAATAATATTATTAATGGATCGGATTTCATGCCGCAACAGTGCTTGGATATGGATCCGTCCCTCCAGAGTCAGGTGATTACTCATGTTACTTTGGGCCCTGTGAGCGAAGGCACCCAGATTGGTACTAGATTGGACACAATATTGGATTATATATGTAAGCTTACTGTGATTTATGTACTTTGATGATATTGTGAGACATATTCCACTTTCTTATTTATATCACATCTCAATTAATGGCTTAATAAATAAATTCTAATATTGTTGTTTAGTGTTAGCTTGCATAGCAAGAAGGTTAAGTGTCATCATGATTATTGGTGGAATTTTTGGGCGTGATAAGTTGGTATTAGAGCTCTAGATTTTAAGGGTCTCACAAGTCATGAGCATGTCTAGTAGATTCTTGTGGATTGGTATAGAAACGTCAGTATCTATCTGCGAGAGGCTATAGGGCTTTATGAACTTTTGCTTTCTTGAATCCTTACCGTGTGACTTTATTTCGGCTCGAAGCCTACATCTTCAGTCCCTCCCTATTCATTAGTATGCGATGTTGATTTACTCGATACTAGTAGAGCACCGGCGACTTGAGATGATATTGTATATGTGGTGTGGTATATTTTTCCCTGTGTTATGAGGGCAGGCTACTATCATTGTTTTGTGCAGGGGCTTTCATCCATTATAGCCCCATTGACCAGGTTGACTCAAAAAGGTATTTTGTTTAGATGGTTTGACGAATGTGAGGATAGATTTCAGAAGCTCAAGACTGTTTTGACTACAACTCCAATGGTTGTGTTGCCCGCAGGTTCAGGGTCTTACAAAGTGTATTGTGATGCTTCACACATAGGTCTTGGCACGATGTTAATGCAGAATGGTAGGGTGATTTCTTATGCGTTACGGCAGTTGAAGCCCCATAAGGAGAATTATCTAGTTCATGATTTGGATAAGGCAACTATTGTGCATGTACTTAGGATTTGGAGGCATTACTTGTATGGTGTGTCATGTGATGTTTACACTGTTTATCAAAGTTTTCAGCACGTGTTTTAGCAAAAGCATTTGAACTTGAGGCAGCGGAGGTGGCTTGGATTGCTTAGGGATTATGACATCACTATCTTGCATCATCTGGGTAAGGCAAATATGGTAACAGATGCCTTGAATAGGAAGGCAGAGAGTATGGAGAGCTTGTCATTTATTCCTGCTACGGAAAGGCTTTTGGCTATGGATGCTCAGGCCTTGGCTAATAGATTTGTGTGGTTGGATATTTTCAAGCCTAGTGGAGTTCTTGCTTGTGTTATTGCGCAATCATCCTTGTTTGAGTGATTTAAGGCTCGTCGATACGATGATCCTTATTTTCTTATCTTTAAGGACACGGTGTTGCGATGTGGTGCTAAGGAGGTGGTTATTAGAGATGACAGGATATTGTGACTTCAGGGTCGGATTTGTGTTCCTAATATTGATGGTCCGAGGGAGTTAATTTTTGAGGAGGCTTATAGTTTGTGCTATTCTATTCATCCGGGTGCTACAAAGATGTATCGTGACTTGGAGCAGCATTATTGGTGGCAGAGGATAAAGAAGGATATTGCAGGACATGTTTTGCGGTATTTGAATTATCAGCAGGTCAGGTATGAGCATCATAGACCAGGTGGTCTTCTTCAAAAGATGGATATATCGGAGTGAAAGTGGGAACGCCTTACTATGAACTTTGTGGTAGGATTACCACGAACCTTGAGTAGGTTTGATGTTATTTGGGTCACTGTGGGAAGATTGACCGAGTTTGTGCATTTTACTCCGTTGATGACTTCTTACACTCAGAGAGTTTGGATGCGACGAGAAAGATTTGCTTGAGATACAAAGGGAATATGGATGCTTGATTTATCTTTATGTGCAATACAATCTTGAGTCTTGGATGTTTTGATGGGCCTTTCTTTTTTTCAAACAATTCCACTAGGTTGTATGCCTAGGGCTAATTTTTATATATATCTAAATAAAAAAAAAATAGTATTGTCTTACAAAAAGAAGACAAATAGCTAAACATGTAGAGTACATAGGTTACTAGAATTCAGTAAAAGATACTCAACAATGGTAGTACAAATTGAACTAGGTCATAACTAACCGATTGGTTTAAACTTATAGCTAAGAAATTAGGAAAAGCTAGCCAATGTGTACCCCTCCAAGTAATTAACCATGATCAATCAATGTACTGTCTCTTCTTCCATGTGTGCATCTCCGTAGTAGTCCATGTTCTAGTCCCTCCACCAATATACTCCTTGTAGTGTGTATGAATAGCTTGAGTGTCAACATTAGTAGTGTGCAAGCCAGAGCCTTGCACCAAAGGGGGCAACACAACTTCTCAATATACTAGAGGTATGGGCAAGCGAGTTGTCCCCAAAATTTCGTATGTTATCCCTGAGAGTTTCCATAAGGACAAAACATGAATAAGTTCCTTAAATGACCTAAGTGAGGAATGTGTTATGTACACCACCCGCAATGTAACCACTAAATTCAATTGCAGCCCCAATAGATTTGAGTTTTATATTTGGGTAGTGTCCACTTCCAACTGATAAAGCTGGGCCTTATCACTACTTGTGTAGAAGCATTCCTTGCTTCAAACAATGTGAGGGATCTATAAAGAGGGTGATCTTAAAGTTTGGGCCAGTTCCAAGCTCCATGATGTCTACATTTCATACAATCAGAGTTGTATAGTATGTGTACAACATGTAAGTTCCATTTGTATCAGTGTATCCTGGAGTTCTTCTTCAAACTTGAGTGAATGACTTCGAGATTGAAGCTGCTACTTGAGTAGTGACATATGATCAGGATTGGACATGAGATCAAATCTAGCATTGCAAGACACTAACTTCTCATTATGATACTTCATAATCATATTTGTGCCTACTATTGATACTTCCCCAATGGACTGAGCACCAAGTGCTAATTCCATACATTAGAATAAAGCCAATAAGTAGGGCATGTACACCATATCATTTCCTACAAAAAAGAACACAAAGTTAGTTATAAAAAGGCCACCATGTTCTCCTCCACCTGAGCATGATGGTTAGTAATATATCCTCCAGAATCCTTCATCATCTCCTTCTCTCATTCAATTGGATTTGAGCATGGTGATCCCATATCTCTTCCCATGTCCTTGGCCTCATCATCATTATTCCTCATATTCTGTATATTCTATCCTCCATTATCATCATTTTGTGCATGGTTGAACTATTAAATATGGTTGTTGTAGCTTATCACTATTGATTATTCCTTTTCCTGCTACCTGCATTTCCTGAAAGGAGACAACTCTAACTCTTTCTTTATCTAAAGCCAGATTTGCAAAATAATCAGCCAACATGTTTCCTTCCCTTAGAACATGAGCTATTACCACCCATTTTCCATGCATAAATCTTCATATCTCCTCCATAATGTTGATGATTTTCCAAGACACCTCCTAGTTATGTTCATTCGTACTCTTTAAAAGAAGTGAGTTTGTTTCTATACTGACATTGTTAGCTTGACTAGCTGCTACATGCCTTAGTGCACACATGATAGCCAGTGCTTCTACTTCATTATTGGTGTAATCATCCTCCACTTCCTTTGTCTGGGCTTGCATCAAATCTCCCCTGTCATCTCTAGCACAAAAACTCCAAGCAACCCTACCAAGATTACCCTAGATGCACCATTTATATTGCACTTGATCCATTCAACTTGTGGTGGTGTCCAACATACCCATGTTGCCTTTAGTTTTATCTTGTAGTTGGTTACAGATTGTAGCACATCCTTCCATCTATAAGGGGCATATTGATAGTTCTTTCTCCTAACATTCATGAATATGATAATGTTTTGCATGACTTAGTAGAGCAATCTTGCATTAAAAATTCTCCCACCATGATTTAAAGTAGTTCTTCTTTTCCATAACTCCCAAACAATACATATAGGTACAATATAAAATATAGGTTTCACATGAGGATATACTGATGCAGCTCACCACATATTGAATACTTGACTTAGTTGTAGTCCCTCCATATTTAAACCTGCTGGCATGCAAAAGTGTTTTCATAGTATTTTAGCAGTTGGAGGTGTAAGAAATACATGCATAAATATTTCCACCTCCGAATTCTGATAACAGTGGCATCTGGATGGAAATTGTATACTCCATCTTCGAACAACATCATCCAAAGGTAGTTTGAATTTCCATAATCTCCATAAGAAGAATGACATCTTGATGAGTGGCCCTTCAATCCACATGTACTTATATCCCATTTTTCTTTGTCTTAGCATCTTGTAAGTTGAACTTGTTGTGAATTTCCCCCCTCGAGTGTTTTTTTTTTAATTTAAAGGTCCACTAGGCATTGTGCCTAGGGCTGATTTTCATATATATAAAGCTAAAGTACTAAAAGGAGGGGGCATAAACCTTACCTCCAGATAAATGGATGATACCAGATGACTACTAAATCTATAGCCATTTGATACCTTACAAGTATGTGAAGTTAGACCTAAATGAGGGTGCCATTTTGCTAACCAAAATTGGTAGCCTAATGATGTATAAAAATCAAGTAAAGTTAGGTCAATTATGAGACTAGAATTGGGGAGATTCTCCCATATACATTTGCTCCTATGATACAAATGAAAACTAGTTCTCCCTATGTGAAAAAGGCAAAAACCAGCATAGGGGATAGAGTGAAGGATACATCAAAGTTATCTTCATATTGGCTTGAACATGAGTGGAAGCCATTGTGAAGGTAGCCTAAATAGATGCCAAAAAGTGTACAAACAACTATCCAATCAACTCCAAAAAATTTAGAAAAACTGCTGCTTCTGGATTGTAGTCGTATGTCATCTATAACACTGCCCAAAGGCAAAGAATACAATGGCCAAAAGGATTTGTTGACAGAAGAGAGTGGGCAGCAGGAGCTACAGGAAGCTAATCTGCCATTAAGGTGCCCTAAATCTAGAAAGGATTGATCCTGGGTGTCCCATGTATATTGATATTTATTTAACAGATTGAGCACATGAAGTGCTAATACCACACATTGAATACATACCAATATAATGAGATGGAACCCTGTACTTGCAAAAAAGAACAAACTGGTTAGTGAAAACCTGCTGGGCACACACAGTGCTTGTCTGCTGTTGAGGCTGCTATTGCTGCAGCATTTGGTGCAGCTATTGCTGCTATTGGTTTCTTTGTTGTTGTAGCTCATTCGATCTTGGACAATTAGGTTTGCTCCCATTATTGCGTGACTGTCATCCATACCCATGAGAAGTAGAAGGAGAGGCTAGGTGTGGTGGGATGATGATTTTATTGGTTTTCTTATGTCTAAATGTTGGTGGTTCAAGGAAATCCTGTTGGATTTGACCTCTGATCTGACTGGGCAGTGAGTGGAGAGAATGGAAGTTGGTGAGTGTTGTGAGACTATGGTTGAGCTTTGACAATGAGTATGCTGGACAGTTAGCTTCTCTGTAGACATAAGAGAAACTGATTGCTGCACATTGATCACATAACTGCTTCAGTTTCAGTAGCAGCATTTTCAGTGCCCATGGTGGTGTAGTCTCACTAGTGAGCTAGTGAATGAGTAAAGCTGAGTCTGATTCAAGGTGCACTTTGGTGTAACCATTGTCCAAGCACCATGTGATCCCAATAATTGCTACTTTTATCTCTGCTTGATTGTTGGTACCTTTACCCATTGGGCCTGCTAAGGCATGGATAAATGTACCCCTGTGATCCCTGATGATGGCCTCAACACCTATCTTCCCTGGGTTTGTAAGTGCACTGCCATCACTGTTGATTTTAACAAATTCTTGTGCTGGTTTCCTCCAGGTAACTTGCTGAACATTGGTGTAATAGGATATATCTTCAATGGCTTGGTACAGGTCAGTCCATTGCAATGGCCATTTAACAGAAGGGTAGTTGGTTTTGAGAAGGAGATGGATATCAGAATTGATGGCAAACAAGACTCTAGTCAAAGAGGACTGTTTGGTACCATATTTTGCACTGCATCTATTTTTCCATAAATTTCAGCTGATGATGATAGGGACAGTATCTAGCAAGAGTTTCTGGACTTCATTTTGTCTTTTAAGCAGCCACCATTTCATTAGGAGTAGTCTGTGAGGTAGTCCTGCTGTTTGGATACCAACTGCTCCTCCAAATGTTCTCCACACTATTACTGCAAAATGCCCTGTGCTGAATATGTGCTCCACAGTCTCAGCACCATATCTTTGACAACACACACATATGGAAACAATAGGATTGCTAAATAAGAGAACCCTATCATCTGTTGGTAATTTGTTTCTAACGGCTCTCCATAAGCAAAAGGACCATTTGAAGGGTATCATTTTGTGCCAAATCATTTTGTTAGTAAAACTGACGGGCCTCTTCTTTCTAATTACTTCCCAAGCTGATGAGCATGTGAAGTTTCCATTGTCATTAGGAACCCAGATATCCTGGTCAAGGGTATTTGGATCATGGTAAATTGGGGTGTGAAGGATGGAGGCAATTTTATGGACAGGTGCAGCATGATTCAGCTTCTGCAAATTCCAATGCCCAGATTCCCAGAATTGGGATACAGTGATGTTTCTTGGTCTTCCTCCTTCTGTTCTGTGTTGAGCCAAGGCACCTGTTCCTAACCAGTTATCCCACCAGAAGCTGCAGTTACCAGAATGCAATCTCCATTGTATGTGCTTCTCAGCTTCTTTTTTGTTGAACATCATTTTCTTCTATGCTTGTGACTGCCCTGAGTGCCACTTTTTGGAAATAGGATTTGATCTTTGACAATACTTTGCTCTAAGGAAACTTCCACATAAAGACTGTTTAGTTCTAAAGATCCACCATTATTTGAACTCCATGGTTTTGCATATGTCTTCCATAGATCTAAAGCCAACTCCTTCTTCAGTGAGTGGGAAGGAGAGTTTTTGCCAAGAAGCCCAGTGGTACTTTTTCTTGTCTTTGTCCATACCCCAGAAAAAGGTTGCAGCAAGTTTTTCAATCTGTTTTAGCACTGTTTTGGGAGGGGATAATGCTAAGAGGAGATGAGTAGGGAGAGACTGCAGCACATATTTAATCAAGGTTGTTCTGCCCCCATATGAAAGAATTCTTATTTGCCATCTTCTAATCCTGCTCACTACTTTGGATACCATGGTGTTGAATTAAATTATTCTTATCCTTACTATGATTAAGGGGCATCCCAGGTAAGTGATGGGGGAGTCTTTTTTGGTAAAACCTGTAACCTGTTGAATTATTCTGATGGTTGCAGGAAAGGCGCAAGGAGAAGCCATGAAGTGACTTTTGTTTCTATTGATTTGCTTCCCATAAATGTCCTCATATGTACTGAGGACTTTCATGATTTTTTGCAATGATGCTCTACCTCCTGAAATGAAGATAATGATGTCATCTACAAAGCTCAGATGATTGATCTGTAGACCCATTTTTCCATATAAAAGCCTTTAAAAAATTGGTCATGAGTAAGCATGTTCAGCATTCTAGAAAGGAGTTCTGCTCCTATGATGAATAGGGATGGGAACAGTGGATCTCCCTGCTTGAGACCTCTAGTTGAATGGAAAAAGCCACATCTATTGCCATTGATGATAACTAAGTACCAATTGTTGGACATGGTCCTCCATATCATGTCTATAATCATTTCACTGAAGCCCAGCCCTATTAACATAATGCATGTGAAACTCCATGATACTTTGTCATATGCTTTGGGCATGTCTAACTTTATCACCATATTAGACTCTGCATTTGGCTTTTTATGCATTGCACAATTTCCTGTGCAAGCATAGTATTCTCAGAAATATTCCTGCCTTTGACAAATCCAGATTGGTTGGCTGAGATAATTCTGGGAAGAATGGGTGCCAATCTGGAACATATGACTTTAGAGATGATTTTGTTGATGAAGTTGCTGAGGCTGATTGGCCTGAACTCAGTGAGAGAGTTGGGGAATTCCACTTTTGGAAGTAGAACTAGGCAGGCACTGATCATGTACTTTGGCATCTCAGCACCACCAAAGAAGGGTAATACAACTTGCAGGAGGTCTGTTTTGATGATGTCCTTGCATGTTTGGAAATTTTTTCCATTCATACCATCTGGACCTGCAGCATTAGCTAGGTTCATTGAGAAGACCACTGCTTTCAGTTCTTCAACAGTTGGATCCCTGTTAAGGATCTCATTGTCTTCATGATTAGAGATGGAATACAGGTGAGGAGATCCTCTCTAGTTGTACCTCCAGTTTTTGTGAAGAGGTTCTAAAAGTACTCACATGACGCTTCTCCAATTTTCTCATCCCCCTGCACCCACTGGCCTTCTATGTCTTTGATCTTATGGATGAATAACTTTCTTCTTCTTCCTCTTAAAAGACTACGGAAATATCTTGAATTTGCATCACCTTCTTTAAACCATTGGAGCTGAGTTTTCTGCTTCAAAATGGATTCCTCTAATTTCATGTACTTAACATATTGTGCTGCCACTTCTTGGAATGCCATTCTATCAGTAGCATCATTTGTCTGTATCCACTTCTCTTCTGCCTGTTTGACCAGTTGTTCATAGTCCTTTGCTTTCTGAAAAATATCCCCATATTCTTCTCTTGACCAAATGCTCAAAACGTTTGACACAGCTTTGAGTTTTTAGTGAAAAATCCACATGGCATTACCTTTAACTTCCTGGTTCCAGATTTCCTAGACAAGTGGCAGAAATCCTGCATTATCTACCCAGCAGTTGAGAAACTTAAAATATTTCTTGTTTGTGTCTTGACTCACATTCATCTCCATCAGAAGGGGGTTATGATCATAGCATGTTGAGGATAAGTGGGTAACAGTGGTAGCAGGGAAAGGAGTCAACCAGCTATCATTCACTAGACCCCTGTCCAACCTTTTCCAAATAATGGAACCTGGTCCTCTTCCATTAGACCAAGTGATTTAGGACCATAGAATCCCAGATCCACCAAGCCACAGTCTTCAATCATACTTAGGAAATCCATACTTTTGTTCATTTGATAGGAAAGGCCACCTATCTTTTCCTTTATGGATGAAATTACATTAAAATCACCAATCACACACCAAGGAATTGTGCATGAAGTTGATTGTTGTCTCAAAGTGTCCCACAAATATCTTCTTAGAATGGGTTGCACTTAGCATATATAACGTTAATTCGAAATGGATCTGCTACTTCTACATGTTAGAGATCTATTGTTAATTATTGCTCATCCTGAGCAATGATTGTACCATTGATTTCCTGATCCCAGAAGATCCATATTTTATTATTGATATTGGAAGCTGAGTTTTGCATTGACAGTTGGGTTTTATAGTGGTTGGGGTGAGTGTTGTCAAGGAATGGTTCTAGAACAGATATGAGGGAAAGTTTGTGAAGGTGTTTCAAGGTTCTGAGTCTTTCAATGGCACCACAAGTTCTGATTCCCCTTGCATTCCAAGTGGTTGTACTAATCATTAAAAATGCTTTGGGATTGTGTGTTTTGTTAGGACTTTGGAACTGGTTGCTTTACTTCTGGTAAGGTAGGGGTTGGTTTATTTCTGGGAGAGAGGCTCTGGGAGTTTATAACCTTGGTGGCTTCTGGATCACCATTAAAAGCAGTAAGAAGATGATTACAAGTATCATCTTTCTCCAAATCTTCACTATGCTCATCATCAGCTTCATCACCAAAATCAACTTCTTCTTCAGATTGAATATGTAAGTATTCATCCTCCTGCAGGTTTGAAGGGGGCAACTTGTTCAACTGGCATTGGTCTATCATAGGTGAGGGTACAACATTAGCTGAATTTGATTCTTTGGGAGGCTTGATCTTTTGTATAACATGTTCTTCTATATCCTTAGGCAATAGCAGTCTTAACTGATCCGCCTTCCATTTTCCATTCTTTGCTACTTCCTCAACCAAGATAATGCTTTCATCACAGTAAATATCCTGAGGTGTTACATGATATAATGCACCCAATCCTTTCCAGCTATCATTCCAGAAGTAAGTATTTCTTTTCTAACTTGCCACCAAATTTCATGCTCAATTTCATCTTTGCATGCTAGCATTTTCTTTCAAACATGTGTTCCTTTTTTCCAAGTTGCCTGAACTGCATGGCACCTTTTTAGGTATTTATTGCTCATATAGGCCCTCAACAATAATTGTTTTGTTCTGAAAGTCCACCACAATTTAGCAAAAAGTGCCTTGGATACATCTTCTAGACTTCTAAATCCTACACCTCCTTCATCATGTGGATGGCACAATGTATGCCATGAAGCCCAATGTCGAGTAGAATTCCCAACAGAATTCTCCAAAAGAATTTTGTAAACAATCTATGTATTTGTGCTGTAACACCCGCTGGCACATCACACACTGATAAAATATGAATAGGCATACTCTGAAGTACATGACTAATTAGCACAACCTTCCTCCTACTAAAAATAGTTTACCTGTCTATAAGCCTAATTGTCTTCGAATCTTCTCACCAATTCCTTGTAGTAATAGTTCAATATCCTGCCATAGTAAAATGGTACCCCTAGATTTGTGAAGGGGAAATCACCTCTATAATCTTTGTGACATAATACATTTTATCCTTAATAATCTGAGGAACAATGTGGTGCATATAGATTTCCCTTTTTTCCCTTTTCACCTTTTGCCCACTTGCCTCTTCCTATGCTGCTAATGTGTCCATTATCATTTTGAGTGATACCTCATTTGCTGATAAAAAAAATGATAGTGTCATCTGCATGTGCAAGACGATTTGTGTATGGGCTCCATTTTGGCATGCCAAAAGGTATAAATTCTTCATTGATGTGGAGTGCATTGTGGGCTCTGGACATACATCCTGCTTCTAAGATGAATAAAGTTGGAGATAATCGATCTTCTTATTTCACCCCCTGAATGATTTGAAGAAGCCTTGAGCATGACCATTAACTAGTATAGAGTACTAGTTATCAAAATGTTCTATATACCATATATATCAGCATCTCACAAAACCCCGTTTTTCTCAATACCATAGTCAAGAATAACCATGAGACCCTATCATAAGCTTTTGTCATATCTAGCTTGATGACTACATTGGTTAGCTTCCCCCTCATATTAATTATCATGAACTATTTCTTGCACCAGTAGTATATTCTCCACTATGCTCCTTCCCTTAACAAACCTTGCTTGGTGTGGTGAGATTACCTCTGTAATATGCTAACCATCCTTTCATGAATGACTCTAGAGAACACTTTGTTGATGAAATTTTCTGAGGCTAATAGGCCTCAAGTCTGAATAAGTATTAACCTCGTTCCTTTTAGGCATTAGAACTAGGTTGGTTATAGTTATGTATCTTGGTAGTTCATGACCACAGAAGAAGGCATGTACCATTCTAACTACATTATTAGCAATGATCTCCCAACTGCGATGAAAGAACTTTCTTGTGTATCTGTAATGACCCGACCGATTATTTTGTGTATTTCAGCCTCATTTCTCCATTTAATGCTCTCCATATGCTTGTTTGTTATTTTGTGACTTATGGAGATGGTTGGTTTAATTTTGAGAAGGTTTTGGAGTGAATTGGAACACTTAATTCCATTTTGGAAGCCTAAGTTATAAGAGTTGACCGAGGTTTAACTTCTATTTAAACGGTATAGTATTGGTGTTTTAATGATTTCAATAGATTTGTATAGTGATTTTAGAGTTTGGCATATGTCCGGATTTGGATTTGGATTTGGAGGATCCTAGGATATTTTGGCCTCG